CTGAACTTTTGTTGTCTTGGAACTGGAAAATCAAAATCAGTAAAAACATTATTGTGGCAGCTAATATACTAGGTTCACAACCAGAGAAGTTTATGCGATCCATGAGAAATGTGACAACATTTTAAGAAATAAAAGACCATTGATATTCACTCTAACCAATGTCTCCAACAAATTATCACTAACCATAAACAAACTAATTGACAGGATGAAGACCCCAGATCGAGCTCATAAAAAACATGACAGATGCTACAAGAATAATAACTTTATAAATAAAATTTAAATATAAATAAGAATACATTATTATTTTAATTGCAACCACAAAGGGGCCTAACTGTTTGAGCAGTCCAAACGTATTTCTCCCATCTACTCTGTGGCAATTTCTCTACAAATATTTTAACCAACAAATAAGAAAATAATCGATGATCTAGCATTGAGCCTGAGCGGAGAGCCTTCAGGTGAATCAGGTTCCCCATGGTGAAGGTGGGGACTGCATAAACCATGGTACCACGAAGTCCTTTATAGTACTCGGAGAGAAGAAATAACAATGATGTTGTAGCAAAATTTCGTGGCCTTTTTTCACTTGTCTCTTCCTTGATCCTTGATTCATTTTTACATTGTTAATGTGAACGTCATAAACAGCTAAAGTTCAGAATCATCACCTTATAAAAATATTTAAGCTAAGCCGAAAAGATTCATCCCATGGACATCAGAATTTTAGTTTCCACAAAACTTGATCATTTTCAAGAAAAAATTACTGTCACTCTATTATTAATAAAAAGAAAAAGAAGTACTGCACTAAGCCTGAGAGTGTGTCCTCTCCGGCTCTCCCAAGATCTCGATTGGGAGCAATCTCCTCTATGTCAAGGCTGAGAGATATCACGATTGCCCTTTATAAAGGATCAACTTCTTGTTTCAATGTATGATGATGGGGGGCATAGAACACAAAGGTCGCCAGATGTGAAAAAACCAATAAACAAATCAATAATATGCTACAAGCCCAATCAATTTACCGCCAACATTTTAAGCTCATACTCAAATCATTCACCGTCATGAACCGTTGGAATGGTTTCTTGTAACTACTATCATAAGCTCATTCCCAAAATTTGGACAAGTTTGAAGGCAATGGTCATCAGCATTGAATGTTTATGTTTTTTAATGCTTTTATTGATATTATTGTTACGGTCACAAGATTTCAATAATTCTACAATGTTGCAAGTCAATTCACTGGGAATAACATGAATGGTTTTCAGGTATTGTATGTTAGTAATCTGGTGAGGGCATAATTTCCTACTGGCCAGAGTAGTGTATCAGGTGAAGATGCTTGCACTATTGCATAAAGGTTTTGTTGGTGTTGACACGTATTAGGAGTGAACATGTTGTTGACCTTAAGGATTTCATCCAAGGACAATCTAGAGGTTTTGATGATAACAAACCATTAATGGTGTTTAAGGGCTAATGTTTACATTGAGTGTTATAGATTATTCACATTCAAAGGATGACCTCAATGAAGCACGAAAGATCATTCCAAGTATTCCATTATTCAAGATCACATCAAGGAAAGCAATGGATACAAAGAAGACATGAAGTTGCAAAGAACCAAATGCAAAGTCCATCCAAAGATAGCTTGGACTACAACGAGCAAAAAAGCAACCCAAAGAAAGGAAGAAGCAAGTCTACCTAAAAGCCTACACGATCATGGACAAAGTATGAAGAAAGGGGTAGATAGGATGGTGAGTGTTTAGGATTCAATGTCAAAGTATTTATGAATCTATTTGAAGCTCATCTCTATAGGACCATGCATATCATATCATCATTCATATGCTCCTATATCCATTAGCAATAGACTATGCACTTCATTCATATATAATTGACATATGGAGTCATTGCTAAAGAATGAGTTAGTTCAAGCTTTGCTTAAGCTTTGAAAGAACTCATCACTTGTGCTAAAAATGCTAAGACCATGCACATCAATCATATAATTTATATTGGTCAACAATTAAGGCATGAGAAGCCTTCATTACCATCAGTTGGTAACGGACATTAGGACCCCAGAATGCGCGTCATGAAAAACTGTGTTTTTGGCTAAGTGTGAAAAATGGATTTTTTAAATAATGATTATTTCAAAATAATTTTTCCCGGTAATAACTCTTTATACTTCAACTAACCTAAACTGATTTTATCAGAATTTTTGACCAAGTCTACATTGGTCTACATACAGATTCATTTTTACCAAAACTGTCGGAAATCCAAATTTGTACTAAAACTGAATTTCTATATTTTGATTTAGTTGGATTTCAATTTTCTAGTATTTTTTATTGAATCTAAATAGGGAGTACTTCCTTATTTACATTGTAAACTTAAAGTAAATGGACAGTGTATGCAGAAGTCCTGTAGAAAAACTGTCCAGTTGAACTGTCTGACACACTGTCCCTAAAATCTAATGACCATATAACCGGTTAGGAAGTTTCTTCTAACCGTTTAGATGAGCTAAACAGAAAGCAACATGATCAAAGCCATCTCATAACCGGTTAGGAAATTTCATCTAACCGTTTAGATGAACAAAACAGAAAGCTTGATCTTCTTATCCGCACCTTGCAACCGGTTAGAAGAATTGTTCTAACCGTTTAGATCAACATACTAGAAATTGTATCTACCTTCTCCTAACCGGTTAGGAGAACTCAGGTAACCGTTTACATGTACTTAAACAGAATATGATTTTTCTTTGCCAATGATGTAACCGGTTAGAAGAAGCTATATAATTGGTTAGGAACAGAATATGATTTTTCTTGGCCTTTGATGTAACCGGTTAGGAAGCCTCTTGTGTTCGAATAGTTGGCCTTAACTACAGAAGTCCCTTAGCAGATGTAACCGGTTAGGAAAAATCCTCTAACCGGTTAGATGAGATCTAGATTTCATCTACTCGAGTAGTTTAAGCCTTGTAACCGGTTAGATGAATGGGCTGAAGCTTCCCAACGGCTATTTCAACCATCTGACTTCCTGGGAACTTACCATAATGCCCCCAAACGGCTATATTCTTCCAAGGGCCTATAAATACACAATGTAAGGACATTGCGGGTATGCAAGGGAGCCAACACTTGAGAGACCTCATTAAGCATCAAAGAGAGCTTTTGTTCTCATATTTTCTCTCCATCTCTCTCATTCATTCATATACTATACTTGAGAGATTTAACTAAGGATTCGAAGAGCTTTTGCTCTATTCTATACTTGAGAGATCCTATTGAGTTCATAAGGGCTTTTATTCTTCACATATTTCGTCTTCTCTCATTCATAGAGTTTGAGCTTCATTGATATTCATATATACTCTAGTTGAGAGCTAAATTTGTATATCTATCTTGAGAGAGATTCAATCTTGTATTTCAACTACAAACTTGTAAAGGTTGGTGTGACCCAAAAGAAGCTTAGGAGAAGGGTGTTCTCCTAGTAAGAAAGAGAAGCAAGGAGTTGCTTCATGTAAAGGTTTGCTCTCCACCCGTAAGGAGAAGCCATAGTGGATTGGGAAGTCTCAAGGGGTCTTGAGCCGAGAAGTAGGAGTTTCCGAACCTCGCTAAAATCGCCAAGTCATTGTTTGCAATTTCTCTTCCCTTATCTCTGTTACAATTGTGCTATTAATTGTTTACTTTCATATCTTGAATATTACATAATTACTTAAGTGGTTGATTAGAAATTGTAAATCTAAATTGCGAAAATTGGCCATTGACTCTATTCACCCCCCCTCTAGAGTCAATCCTTGGGCAACACATGTGTCACTTGATTCACTGGGTACAACATAACTGGTTTTCAGGTATCACGTGTTAGTTATCCGGTGCCAAAGGAATATGATGGAACTGATAGTGGGATTCCGGCTGTAAGAGATTAGTGTTTTGGGTAGACTCACCTGTGTCATTGCGTGAAGTTGTTGGAGTTGACACATATCAGGACAAAGAACATGTGTCATGCCACATGGATTGTAGGCTCGCTAGAGAGGAAGCACATGTTGATCGCCATTGGTACAGATGAAAATCATTGGTCTGACTCATTGATAGCTTACAAGTTGACAGGGTTGCAAGTTCATGACCATGTCTTGGGATTTTTCTCTCAGTTGCCAATATACCTAAATTTTAACACTTTAAGTGTACCAGGATCATGTATCTGGGCTACACTAGAATTATGACCCCACAGCATAGGCCTGTTAGTGACACAACCCAACCCCAAGCAAATGAGGAACAAGTTAAAGAGACTCTTCCTAAACAAGGACGCAAAAGTATAGCTGGTTAGGGCCAGAAGAGAGCTGGGCTCCCTTGAAAATATTAGGAAGTACGACTATCCTTATGAGCGTGCAAAAATTTCTCAAAACTGTTACCGGTGGAAATTGTAGGACCCTCTCAGTTGGTAAATCAGCAGGTAACAAATTCTTTTCTCAAGACTGTTGTGGTATTAACATTTCCATGTAATGTTGTACTTGTGTCAAAACATATTGGTTCCATGATTAAGTGGAATGTGCATTTGTTACACCTTATGCAAACTAAAAGGAGAAATACAAAACTCTGCAGCAGAAAAAGAAAAAAGCAAACTAGCTTGTGTTGCTCTAACAATTATATCTCATCCCATGATAAATTGATTTAAATTTTATCTATCACATAGCCATTTTAATGTAAATTTAGTCTTTTCTATATCTATGAAGCATGGACAAGGATATGTGATACTAATAATTACAAGGAAATAATAATATAGCAAATTTTGAGAAGATAAGATACTAACAGGGAGGGCTATAATAACAAACAAAATTGATATAAATGGTAAAAAATTATTTCTCATCAATATACTTACTACAAGTTTCTTATTTATGATATTGAAATTCAAACAACAAATTTGGATTTATGCTGCATAGAGGTATGTTGAAGGCTATGAAAGTTGGGGAAATACCAGAGCAAGCAAAACACAAGGGAAAAGGAAATTGAAATAAGGAAATGCATCAAGAAAGAAATCAAGTAAGCTTACACTCACCGTGTAAGCTTCTCCAAATCATCCACAACTTTACTTAATGCGTGGAGAGACATCTTTTTTACCTGCACCAAGCAAAAATGCAGAGCAGGTATGAGATTATCACAATGCATATGCCAAAAGCTATTCAAGAAGTGAAATGGCCAGCATTTAAAAGTTATAATGGCCTTTGACCTGTATACAAGGCAATTAAGCACATTGCTCCAAAAGTTGCACAAAGTTCATTCTTGGTTGGATAGGCTACAAACAGAGGATTTGATTCAAAGCTTACACCAGCAAACAAGTTATTGACCGTATTGACCTAATCTAACAACCATCTATTACAAATTGCAATGTCTTCGTTTAGAAAGAATCTTTTAATCAAATTAAAATACAAATTTGCCATTGCAGCACCTGCTTTATGCAAGCATAAAATTTTAAGGCAGCAATACAAAAAAGTAGCTACCGTATAATTGGGACATAGAAGGTTAATCCTGTATGCTACAATATATGGAAAGAGGTAGCAAACAGCAGCTGAGAAGCCTGTAACTCAGGTATCTTGAGAGGCACACCAAGGATTTTAAGGTTGGGAAGTTTGATGAATGCTTTAGGCAAGCAGATGAGTAAGGTAAAGCACAATTTATGGAGACAGCTTGTGTTAGTTAATGATGGTCGGGAACAAGGTGAAACACTTAACTTAGAAGCTATAAGTAATTCTAAATGTCTTGAGGATTCTCTATATAATGTATTGGGAAAAAAAATTTACAATCAAAATCCACCAAACCTCTAGATGTGTCACGTTGTCCCATCCACCCCAAGGAGGAAAAGAAAGGTAGTAGAAAGATAAAACCTTTAAGCAAGTATAATATTAGTCAGGAAACAAGACAATGTACCTCTAGTTTGTCTTCCTTGGCTCTATGATTCTCAGGAAGAATACGAAATTCCTCAGTCAAACGAATGCACTCACCGATGTTTTCAGGTGAAACAAAGTCAAGAGCAACCTTAATACACGACTGTAGAGGACATAAAGAAGAAAGTTTTAAAAGAGTCATACAAATAAGATCACGGAATGACAAAATCCAAAATGAAAATAACCTACCTCTCATCCCCCCCTCCCCTCCCCTCCCAAGAGAGAGGAAAAGGGGAAAAAAAGAAGAAGAAGAATAGATATAACTCATAGAGAACAGTTCCAGCACACATTGCCAAAATGAAATCTAACAATAAGTTGTTCTACAGCTTTGTTTAATTAAATCATCAAATTTACATATTCATTTCCCAAGAAAATCTTTAAATGTCAAAGAAAATACACTAGAAACAAGGAAAAACTAGTCCAATTTCCTAACACAAATCCTGTCCCTTCTATTAGAAACTTTAGAGGCTATAAGAAACCAAGTTCAAGAAAGCCCAGCAAAATTAACATAAATCAACTGGTGTCTGGTAGGCTACAGAATATATAAAGAGCTTGTGTACGTAACCACGCATGCATGTATATTTTTCCTTGTTCCTTCCTGATTTAAACAGTTTTCAGTTCATAAAATGGATTGATTTTCTTTTCCTACATCACATATTTAAAATAATTCCTTTGCTGCATAGCCTACATGTAAAATTAACAATTGAATACTATAGGGGTAATATCAAATGGACAACCAGGTTCAATAAAAAGTTCTGGTGAAAGAAAGTTGCGGAGTGCTAGTAATGGCCATCTCTACACCCTCAAAGATTCTTGACTATGCATGCTCATGACTTTTGACAGTCAATGACTAGATACCTACTTATCAAGAGTAAATATTTTATTATTATTTTTTTTTCCTAGTTGGACTCACACACACGTCTCTTTTGAGACTTGAACCCCTGACCTCCCTTTGGGAGGTAAGATGCCAATACCGCTAGGCCACTGGCCCGTTGGTATCAAGAGTAAATATGTATTTAGAGATAAAGATTCATGTGCCAGTAAGAATTGAAATATAAGCATCAGGACAGGAGAACTTGACTACGCATGTTCATGACTTCAAACATATTTACCACATATAGTTACGTAAGATTGGGTTTCAATTTGTAAGTAAACTGTTGAACACAATGATAATTGATTGCTTCTAGGTGTTGTAACACTATTGAATAATACATTTGCTCTTCTAAGTATATTTTTTGAAGTAAATGACATACAACTCTTTTCTAGGCACAAAATTTGTGGAGAAAACCGTGCAGTTGCTGTGGCAACAAGTATCTCATATGCTAAATGTTAGAGGAATTTAAGAAATAACATTAAGGCAAACACTTTGAAGAATAATGACAACAAGAAGTAATAGAAACACTGGCATGACAATCCATGCCTAAGCAAGCACAGAAGATTCTGGTTTTATATACAGTGTGATTATAAAAGCAAACATTATTGCGGTCTTTTGCAGAATTTTTCTTTGTCAATTGATTCAACTAAAACATATTCAACTCATTAAATGTTTAGTTCTTGCTGATACAGCCACGGGGTATATAGGGATCTTTGTCAGAAGACTCGGAATGGAGAGGCATCTAAATGCTCTCATCTAGGAAATCGTGGAACAAGCCAGGGAGCATTAAACTGAGAAGGTTCTAAAAGTTGTGTTCTGGAAAGACTCATTTAAATTGAATAAATGTTTAAAAAAAGTCACTTTGATGGCATATTTACATGCTTGAAAGAGCCACTTGTGGTCAAAATGTATAAATACGTTCAAGGCCAATACTTATAGGATAATAAATGTTCTCACTAGTCATATAAAGATGGCAGATTGTAATATAGTCCCCGAATCCTAAACAAAGGTTTCATGGACTAATGCATGAACAAAAAAAAATCTATGACTAGCTTACCTTAAGATTTCTAACTTGATGAGGACATCCTGCAGGTATAAAGACAGCCTCTCCAAGTTCTTGCACAAATGTCCAAGGTTCAACTCCTGCATTAAGCATTCAAGTGAATTATTGCTCAAATAATAGTGAAAAGAAACAAAGCACAAAGACCAACCAAGTTTTGATAAACAACTAACCGAATTCCTCTTTGAGCTTCCTTTTATGATACAAATTAAGGTAGAAAGTCTGATCATGAATAGGGTCAACCACCTATAAATTAGATAAATATAAATTATGATGCAAAACTTTTATAAACTATCACCATTTCATTGAAAGATAGAACTACAATGATGCACCCTCAACTGTTATCAAGTAAACTTTTTAAAATGGGATGTTGCACACAGTGGGAATTTAACCTTGTGGAAATAATAAACATGAGCCATATGACCGATTTAAGGTAAAAGGAAAAGATAAAACTAACTTTACAAAAACCAATTTCCTCTAATTAAATAAATAAATAAACATATATTGAAGTTATGCTTAAGTTGAGTGGTTTTCTTCTTGTAACACAACATGATCTGAGTAAGTTGGACAGTAAAGAAGCCAAGCTGAGCGAGTATAAGTCTGTTCAAGCTTGGCACATAAGTTAATGCTACACTAGGGAACTCAAATCTCGGCTCGGTGAGCAACTCAAAGCTATAAAAAAAAGGTAATTTTGTTATAAGCGTAATTTTCTTGTTGCCAAATTCAAGTATTTTAATTTTAAAATAGAACGTCAAAATCAAAGTTGATAAATAAGACAACCATGATGTCAGCTGCAAAACAAATTTACTTGTATCACACACCAAACATGTTTCTTAGAAAACAAATAGCCATTGAACTTGTATAAAACTACATAGCTTCCGTCATACCAACATGTTCACGAGCTGAACAGAGCCTGCTTGTTTAGAGGACTCATAATCTAATTGACAGTATATTATACATTATCAAGGAAAAAAAAAAAAAAAAAAAATCATAATAACAAGTAAGGTGTGCCTACATTCAGATGCAACTATTTTTTCTGCAATAGGAGAATCACTGAACAAGCAAATACAGATTTCTCTGCATATATCTCCACCAGATGGCAGTTTATAACGTCCATAATACAAAACCTATTGTTACTTTACATTGCAATAAAAATATTATCCAATGCATATGCTTCATGATGGAATTATGGTTACCTGCTCTACTGGACAACAACAGATGTGCCTAAATTCCCTGTGGTGCTTTCTAAGATATTCCTGCAGCTTGGGAACATCTGGTCGACGGAAAATGTCCCAAACAGCACCTCCCTCTGCTGTCTCCAACCCATGCAATCTGTTTTCAGAAACTGCATTTGGACCACCAGAAAACTCTCCTTGCTGGTGGACATCAGTTGTCAAACAATGACGATCGGAGAGAATAGTATCAATCTGTCCTACTCTCCTATTATTTTCCTCATTTCTAGTACCCTCTTCATTCTGAGATTCAATACCATTACCAGTCTCTGTTAACAAATCTTTAGAATCAACATCCAATCTATTATGCATATATCCTCTGTTCCTCTTACTGCCTCGCCCAACTCCTCTCCCCTGCCTGTTCTTTGTCTTCTTCTCTGAAGGCAAACTAGAAACTTGATCTGTTTCATCAAACACGATGTCTTGCATTTCATTATTTCCATTTCTACCCAAAATGTCAGCATCTTTCCCCTTGTCTTCTTTAGTTTTAACAACCTCGGCACAATAATCTTCACCACATGAACTAGGGTTAGCTCGCTCAGATTTGAACTTCCCATTGGATTCTGGGACATGATTCTCAGCCTCTTGATTATCTATATGAACTATACCAAAAAGTTCTTCTTGGTCTTGGGCAGAATGTTTTTTTTGCAATTTTTTAATCTTTGAAAGCTGCCAAGGTGCATAGGTCACTTCTGCAGTGTGCATCAACACATTCACCTGGAAAGTATAACGACAACTAATGAAAAAGGATGATATTTAACACGTTATTAAAACCAGTATACTGATACATGTTAACATAAAGGCACGGACCATGATTCTCTTTTCCATTCTATTCTATTATACACCATGTCTCCTCTAATATTTAATGTTTTACAATCATTTTTAGTTACTTCATTCCATGTTAGTTTTCAAGAATTTCACAACTTTTCAATGCATGGAACTTCTTAAATACTATTCCTGTTTTTCACCAAAAGGAATTACTTCTTCTGTTTCATGGAAATGTGTCCTTTGCTTATGGAAGAAGAACATAAAAGTGATGAGAATATGGCCTAGCCTAGACCATCGAATCTACTTGTATGTAACTTTATAAGATCTCAGTGCCTTGACATCACATAGAAATTAATTCTGTTATTTGGTTAAAGAAACATGACTTAAATGTCATGGATACTGCTGTTACAGAATTGATTAATAATTATAGTAAAAAATGTTCAGGCTTGGGAATTAACTTCTTGACCAACCAACAGGTTTTATTTTCCCATGAAAAGGCAGTAAGCTGTATTGAAGTCAATTAAACAAATCATACCGCATCTGACATGTCACAGTGAAGCTTTGTCACAGAATCTCCGCGTCCTAGCTCTTCAGAAAATCCATACGCTATATATGTTTTAGGACCAAGGTCTGGCTTTAGTGAATCAGTAGGCAACTTTGAGGCAACATTAAGTATACCAGAACAGGGATGTGTGTATTCCAAATATGGCAAGGCACTGACAAATTCTGCACCATGGCGTGGTAAGCGCTCCTCAAATAAGTTAGATGGCGGCCAATCTTTCAGTTTGAGCATCTCAGGCCAAGAGTTTCTGTGTGATCTACCTTCGGAGTACCCTGTAAAAAATTGGTGAATATTTATCTCAACCTGCACAGCACAAGACAAAATAAGAAAACATTAGTGTAAGATCAATCAACTAGGACAAATAAAATATGAAACAAATAAATGGAAGTGGGCGAGTTATGATATTACCCATTATACCTAAAAACAAATATTGAAGAAATAGAAAAGAGAGGGAAACTTAATGCAACCAACATTATATGATGCAAGCATTACGACTTCTAAACCTACAACAGATCAGTTATTATCCATAATTACATAAACCAATCTCAATAAAGTAGATCAAGCCCTTATCCTGACTGCCTAGAGTATTAGGTAAACCACATCAAACCCTTTTCACTTTTGTCTTGCCAAAACACTTGGAATGAATGTCAAATTTTATGCATATATGTTTACATGCAAACAGAAAGTCATTAATGTGCATACTTATTTAAAATCAAAGTTACATAATGGATTGCAGCATCCAGATGACCATAGGCCATTTAGACAATAATGACAAGTCAAGCATCTTATTTCTTCAAGGTAGCATTCCAGTTTTACAATCAATTTTATCCCCAAAAGGGACCTAATGAAACCACTTGTTTAAAACGGTTATTATCCAAAACATTTTCATTTGTTACTTATATTCTCTCCCACATTCCTATCATACTGAAACAGTGTCAATATAACTATGTACATAATACACATTCATCACGCATGCATGTTTACATTTATACAAGTAATATGTAAACACACAATAACTGCAGATGTGGAACGGTGAGATATGAGTTTAATTACAAGTAAGCCTTTGCAGTTTGTGGGTCCTTAACTAAGCTTTGATTCAGATTTCAGTTTAAACTTCAATAATTCCTCAAAAAAATGAGCGCGCTTAACCAAAACTGCCAAGATTCACTCATCTGAGCCTGAAAATTTTGCTCAAAACCTGCCTGATATAGTTTTAAAATCAACTTGGATAGTGTAAATTTGAACTAATTAAGGAGTAAGGTCACCAGTCATAATCATGATAATCATTTTTCATTGTGCTTGCTAAATCAAGAAGACAAAAATACCGAGTGAAAATAAATTCAAAACCAAGCCGAATGACATTATAGAGTATGGCCAAGAGAAAAAGCATTATTTCAGAAAACAAGACAACATTTAATGCATTCACAATTTAGTGAAAAATAAAAGTTTCCAAGACTATCTATTCACACTAGACTGTTCAAACATGTATCTTATTTTACTATAAAAAGAAAAGAAAGAGAAAAAGAATAAGGGGGAAAAAATAATATTAAGTCTTCGCGAGGCAACGTCAAAAGGTATAGAATTTTACTATTCTTGAATCTAAATTAGGAATTTCTTATGGTTTGTTTATTATGAATAACTGTCCTTTAAATTAATCTTATTTTATGTTAAATTCTGACTTATATGTTGTTTCGTGATGTGATTGATAAATTTCCCTTAAGTGAGTCCTACAAAACATTTATGCTTTATGCCTGAGTAAGGGTTACAAAGGTTTATATGATAAGTAGGGTAAGATATTTCTTTAAGTTACAGTTTTTAGTTTGAATTTATGGCGTATATTACTATAAGTGGTTACCTCCTTGGGAAACCGATCAGGCTATTTTGTTGATGCCTCTTCTTATTAGAAAAGAACTGTTTCTTGAAGAAAAGAGGTTGGACACTGAAAGTTCAAAAAAAAAAAAAAAAAACTGATGCCTGTTGTTAATGAATACCTGTGCATTTCGGCTGTTGAAGACCGAGGAGTCAGTCCGAAGGTCACAAGGGAATGAACTTCTAAATAAGCAGGCAGGGACTCGTTAGCGTTTTACTAATAACATAGAAAAGGCAGGCATCTTACTCATTAACCTTGATTCACCTGCTTTTGTCTTTCGTGCATATTAGAATGCGATAGATTTATGAATGGTGTTACTGAGCAAATTCATCTCCAAATTCATCTCAGGAAAAAGATTTAAGGAAGAATGGAAACACCTTGACTCTGATGTATGTGGTTGCTTGATTTAAATGCCTAAGTTTCAGGGGAATTTGGTATACTCTGTCATGTGTAATCTGAATTTCGACTTGTTATAATTTTTGGAATTTAAGTATGAAGGGTTGTAAAATTTAGGTGCAAAAGTTCCATAGCTTATAGTATATTTGTGAACTATTTTATTTTAAATGCCTATAACTAATGAAAGAGAAGTTCTTTAATTGTAAAAATTTTCCTGCACTCTCTAGACACGTTGGTGCAATAATGTACGAAATTACATAAATCTGGATCAGGTTTATCATGTATTTCCCAAGTATCAAATTTATGTGTTGGTTTCTGCCACAATTTTATCGCAGGAACTTCTAAACGAAATAAAATTTAGTAAATTTCTATAGTCAGATTTTGAACTTAAGTAAAATCTTTCTAGCATCTGAAGAAATCAAGAATTACATGAAACTATATAATCTTCCGTTTTCCATGACTTTTTCTTCAACACTAAAAGCTGCAGATTACAATTAGACAATAGCAGAAGGCCGGACTTAACCTAAAAACTCATTTAATTGGAAGTAAAATGCTCGTAGAAGGGTTTTATTCTTGTAGTATCTCAACTTCACATTGCAAAATGACTGATTTCACTCAATTTTATGGAAAATTGAATCTTCTATAAATTTTGTGATTCAGTATGCTACCCAATTGATCAGCTTGAGACACACTCAGCTCCAGACATGGATAAACCAGGTGTCTTAGAGTCTAATAGTTGGTTCAGACTTCAGTAACTTGCAAGAACTTGCATCATAGTTGAAATCATTACATCATAAGTGCAAAAAACATAATGAACAGAGACATCTAGAGTAATGGTCACAATAACAGCATAACAATACCAAAATGAACAATACAAAGTGATATCTTGGAAGTACTGACCTCACAGCAATCAAGGCAATCTGTTGCCTTCACTACCAAATCTGAGGAACCCTTGGTATATTTAATCTCACGGAATGCGCGCCACATAACCATTGGTTCCCAACTCAGTCCAGATGTAAATTCATGAACATTGCTAACAATGACTGGCTCTCCCCTGATCCAATGACTCTGGAAGTGCTCCAGATCCCCCTGCCGGATATCACTTGCCGAAGGACAGTACAGATAGTTGTCTTCAGAATCTTTTCTAGAAGCAGATTTCCGCAGTTTACCATTGCCAATGTCGATCTTGCCATTTGATTTAAAACATGAGCATTGTTGCGTAGAAATTTTGTTCAAATCTGCAAGTTCATAGGTTTTAACTATTTTTTTTACTTTCTTCTGCAACTCTGAGACCCAGCTTTCTGGAAACATACACTTGAGCTCCAAAAGATCATGACCACAACCACCCATTTCCTTTGGTGGGCAAGGTATGACACCTCCTCGCAAGCAACCGTTCCGAATTTCCCAGCAACAAGTCAGGCAGAGATCATAGGAACAATTCGGACAGCTTCTATGAAAATCAACTATAGAGGTTCTGCAATTGTTGCTGCAATAGAACATGTGGTATCATCAAATCTTTGTCACAACCCATATTTCAAAACAAAAGAAATCATAAATCATTCGAGAAAAGTACCATACCAGTACACACGTTCGTCGTTATAACAACCTGCCTGCTGTATCTCTACCTCTGATGGTGGTAACCCTGTAAAAATTCCATTATGTATTGCCAAATTATTAAGAAAATGAAAAACTGTTTTAGTTGCATAAGCCACCGCATGTATGACTGCAGAGCAGTGTCAACTTAATGCCATAGATGGTGGGCTACCGGTTCAATTCTGCAAAGTTATTTTATTTGTGTAAACATGTAAAAAAATGTGCTTTAATAACCTTCTCCATCCTTCCAAGCCTTGATTCATCACATATCATCTTTATCTCTGACTTAATGTTACTTTCTTATCCTGAATGCTAACTAGCAACAATATGCAGTTCATACCTTGAATCTCAGCCTCAATCTTCTTTTCCCTCGTTTGGTCATGATCGAATTGCTCCAGGAATGGATAGAGTGCATGTACAAGATATTTAAAGTGCTGAATCTTTTCATCCTTACTTTCTGGCGACCCTGAATATTTGTTATCCTGCGTTAAATTATGAGAAATGCACCAGATGTCACAAGCTATACCATAATGTAGTTTATGCAGAGGTGAAAAGGCTAAATACCATAGCTGCCATTACCAACCTTGATTATATCATTTCTACGTAAACAAGCTTTGCAGTTGCAGTTCCCACGACAGTATGGGCAAGTCTCCGCTATTGCTTCCTCTGACAGTCTCGGGTACCTAAATTTTACAATGAAAAGAGGGGGGAAAAGTGCTAATGCATTGGTTAATGAGCACTAAGTGTTTGGTACACATTTATTGTGAGAAATAGAGTTGACATGGCTTTAAAAAAGACAAAAGAAAAAATCAGAAATGAACGAAGTTAAGCACAATTGGAAAAACGTTCCTTGACATCCACATCCTGTGAATCACTTAAGCAATAAATCAATAAAGTCTAAAAAAAATAAAAATAAAACATATGACAGTCAAATTACTAGGAAGAATAACAATCACTACATCAACCGATCACACCTCATTGTTTTACAGGATAACACCAAGATTAACAACGAGAGAGGAGGAAAAAAAAAAAAGATGCAGCCTGAAAGCCACCTAAATATACATAAATATAAACTAGGAAAAAAAATATATAAATACATAAATATATATAGAAATTAGCAATCAATAAATGAACTCATATGCTATAAAAATTCTTGGCAACGGCCATAGTACTCATTTAACAACAATGTATCATTTAGGAACCTCAATTATATCAAAATAAGGTTTATAACAAATTAGTAGATTGGATGAATCTTAAAGTCATTTCATCATGGGAATAGAACAAATTATTCAGGGAGAAAAGTAACATTTCCTTTGACATGTGTAATTTAGATATGTTTTTTTTTTCAAATGTTACCATCTCTGTATGCATGGAACACAAAAACGTTTGCGACAGCAGCACCGCACCACCTTCTCCTTATCACTCCTCTGGCATTGATGGCACATATTACAGTCATCTCCACTCGGCTGTAAATATATATATATATATAAGAAGAGTGTGTCAGCTTTGGTTAAAAAAAAAAATTGAAATTTTGGGAGAAAAATAGAAGAGGAATAGGAAAAGGAAAAGAAACTTAGAAAGAACATAAAGCTTACATGGGTAACAAAAATCCTTCTCCTCGGATCGATAGCCTTCTCTCCAAGCCGCACGACCTTCTTTTTCCCATCCAGTGACAATGACTCAATTTTGACACTCTTTTTGCTTCTTTTTTCCAAATTGGCCATTCTCGTTTTCTTCTTGTTATCAGACGATGGTTTTTTGATTTTTTGTTCCTCTTTTCCTTTAATGTTTACCTTATCTTCCTCGTCCACGATTTTCAGACTACGCTTTGTCTTCTTCTTCGTTGGAATCACCTCATCATCGTCAGGCCCTTCTTTTCTTCTCTTTCTCTGTTTCTTGCTGTTTGATGTCGAGAAAAGCCCTGGTTGTTTGGGCTTATTTCCGGAATAACCACCACCGTCACCGCCACCTGTGCAGTGGTTCTTTGTGGTTGTGCCTTTGGGAAGCCTAGAACCAGAAGCGGTGGACTTCTGTTTGGATTTCTGCAGAGAGTTGTTTTCGCAAAACATCTTCTCGTTGATCCTACGAACTTTGCACCGCCGACTGCGACGCAGACCGTCAGGCCACACTGCTATTGTCACCTCCTCCGGCGCCGAAGATGAGTCTCCCATTGCGCTCCAAAGCTTTTTTTCAATTTCTCTGTGTGTTGAAAAGTGTGTTTTTAGAGGGAAAAGGGGGAAGATGTTAAATTTAATAGGGAGAGAGAGAGAGAGCGCGTGTTTTTGGCGGATGGGTTACCCCGCACACGGTTTTAATAAATGACTGTACAGGGGATTAAAGAGCAATGCTAAAGTACGCCTATGGGCGCTAACATTTAAAGTGAACTTTGTGTACATAACTACATAAGTGTCCTAGGATCATACATGTATTAATGCTATGAGCCTACTAATATGACAGGATTTGGTGTTGGACGGTTGAGAATTAAAATATATATACATTGAAAAGAGCAGAGGCTATACATATTTAGAATTTTTTTTCTTCTTTTTCTTTTTCTTTTTCTTTTTTTTTTGTTTTGTTTTGTAAGGACATACAATACAATCTGTGATTAGAATTAAATTATGCCTTCTATATTATGATTATTATTACAATTATATTGTGCTTTCGATATTATGATTATGATCATATAAGTATGTGTGTGTATATATATATATATATATATTTATTTATTTATTTATTTTGTGTTTTCAATAAGTTTTCATATTCTGGCAAGTTAAGTAACAAACAGAGTCATGCACCCGAAAATTGCAATGGAATTAACCCGTCTGGTCATGGAACCTCTCCTCTTTGTGAGTCCTCCTTCCAATAGGTGTCCTCTACCTGTTAAAGTGATCCAGATCTCTCTTTTTTCTGTTGTGTTTTATGGCTCTTTTCTTTTCTCCTTCCTTAGCCTTTGTCCATTCCACTGCTTTAGGGCTCGATTTCTTTTTTGATCTTGCGTGATGGAGATGGATTCATCCTTCTCTCATCTCTGTCTCCCCTTTGGTTTGTTCGGCCAATAGGGCACACGACAGTTGTGGGATTTAAAGTCGGGGATTTTGCGCAATGGAAGAATTGAGACCCAATCCTTGTTGTTCTTCCCTTTTGATTCGGGTATTGGGCCTTTTTCTTTTGTATTTCTGCTTATTGTGTTGTGTTTCCTAGGGTTTGTTGTTTTTAGGGTTTTCTATTTGCTTTGCTTTTCCTCTTCCTATGGATTTTTCATTCAACGCAATGATCGGCGATGTTTGTCTGGGGAGGTTGTTGATTCTGGAGATGCAAAGTCGCCGAGACCATATTTGTCTTTGCTGTATTGGTGTCGGCGACGTATCCTGGCTACTTATCCACGTCTTTTTGGGCACCTCTGGCCGCCAACGTTAATCACTCTTGAGAGGGCCATGTTTATGTTTCATCCGTTCTGGAGTTTCAAGGCCTCTGTTATGTTGGTTCATGGCCATGATATAGTAGGTTGTTTCCCGGACCTCTTGTGACAGCCCTGGTTTTTAGGCCAGCGCATCCTATGATGAACCGAACGTAGATCCGATAACGAATTCAGAATGCAAAAGTAAGAAACAAGACAACGGTCTCCCAAAGCACAACACACCTCTAAGACACTTTGATGACCTTCCATAAGGTCGCGGAACTCAATGAGAACTGATGCGAAAGCAAAAGATCAGAAAAATAACAATTAAGCCCCCAGAGGCAAAATAGTCATTTTACATAGAAATGACGTCCCTAGAATGTATATCATTCCTGAAACACATCCATGACTTCCCATGAAATCACGAAACTCAAAAAAAGTAGCAGAAAGTAAGAAAAACTGAGCAAAAATAGCCCTGAGGGCAAAATAGTTATTTTTGAAACTATGGATTTGGATACCACCAAGCACACTGCTGGAAAGAAAATGAAAAACTAATCAAGATGGACTCAAGAATCGCATGATTCGGAGTCCGGACGAAGGAGAAATTGTATGACGAAGAAAAAAGAGCACTTAAGGCTAAAAGGGTAAACTGGTAATTATTCAGGAAGATCCGGGTGCAACTGAGTACACCGTTAGAAAGATAGCGAAAAATTAGTCAAGTTCAAAAAAAAGTTCACTCAATTTGGAGTTCGGACGAAAGAGAACGAGCGAAAACAAAAGTCGACATCACGACGTCGAGACGAGCACCCCATGAGCACCATGACATGCTAGAAAAGAAGAAGAAAAAAAAAATCAGCCAGAATTGAGAGCCGAAACGAGGTCCGAAAAGAATTTTTTTAAAAAAACACGAAGAACAAACCCTACTTAAAATCGAGTTTTCTACCCAACATCGAGGAAGGAAATGAAAAAAAATTCACTGTGAAACACCTAAAATGCTCCTAGATCAGAAGAGGTCAAGAGGGCCAAAAGCTGCTACGATAACTGTCCTGATCTGAGAGCAGAAACGGGCTATCAAACGAATTTTCTGGAAAAACATGAAAAAGAAACCCCTCCTGAAATCAAATTTTCTACCCGGTAATGCAGGAGAAAATGGAAAAAAAAAAAAAAAAAAAAAAAATACTGTGAAATGGCCAAAATGCCCTTAGATCAGTAGAGACTTAAAAACTAAAAAAAAATGCAACTTTGCACCAAGTATGCATTTGACCCTAAATGTATTTCTAGGTTGAAATGAATGTACACGCAAGTATAATAAATGATTCTAAGCGCGCGGGAATGGTCCGTGGCTCCCGAGAAGCCCCGACTCAAAATCCGACCCCCCGGCGGCCAAAAATGATAAAAATGGACTTGAAATGAAAAATTTGAAATCCAAAAATATGAAATGGAGTCAAATTACCGTTTGACCCTAGGTCACACTTCAGACATAATTAATGAGACTCTATGAAAGAATAAAAACGGAATTCCCACACCCGATGCAAGCATGGTGAAGTAATGACTTGTGATTTTTCAATATTTTCATAATATTTCATGAAGTCAAGAATTTCATAAGATGTAATATAAATGTCATTGGCCTCCGGCCTTATCTCATACAAGTCAAATACATTACCAAGGGTGTACTTATGTACGCATTACATATATGGAATCAAGGATACAAGTTTTGACATATAAAGCTACAAAATGACATTTCATGCTAACATTTGCATAAAATGGAAACTTAAAAGTTACAAGTCATCCAAGGAATGACGAGCATCACGAGCTAAGCCTTCGTACCTGAAACAAATCCCCAGTAACTTCGGGGTGAGTAACATAAAGTTACTCGTAGGAAATGAGCATGCATCGACCTCGCATTTTACAAAATTATCACCTTAAGGTGAAACATGTCAAATGGGCTCATACCACTTAACGTCTATGTCAAAATGAGACTCAGGGAGCATCCTAGGCTACTCATGCAATTTAAAGTGAACAACGACATACAAGTATACATGTTCAAATATACTAAACAATGTTAAAACATGTTATACAACATACAAGCATACATTTCCAAGTATACTAAACCATATTAAGACAAGTCATGCAATGTCTAAGCATATTTACACAAGTATACATTTTATATGAAAATCTCGTAAATCAAGTATATGAACACAAGTATACTAAGCTAAAAGAAATACACCTAAAATAAGTATACACGGCACAAGCATACTAAATGAAATTTAAACTCACGGAGCAAGAATACAAGTTCAAGTATACTAAATAGGATTCAAATATCCAAAGCAAGCATCAATTCTCAACCTACAAGTAATTCATGATTAACAACTTGAAATTAAATGCAAAATCAAATAGTGGAAAGACTAGGGCATGCGGTTGCTAGACCAAGCAGGTATTTTTAGGTAATTACGACCCATAAGGTACCACCTAGTGCGCACTTATAACTTAGAGGACACTTGTCCACGTATTAGAGCCAAACCCTATCCATCACATAAATTATGCCCTCACAAGTTTTCCAAAATCAATAAGTTCAAAACTTATACAAAACCAAATGCAAGTTACCACATTCCATGCACAAATAAGGTTGAATCCACACAAACCCTGTCCTAGAATTCAAGTCTAAATAGCATATGACATGTCATATCCTTAATATGCAATTTATACCATCCTAAGTCACAAGTATTAAATAAGTTCTAATTTAGTAACTACCTTCCAAGGTAAACAATTGTAATATTCTAACAAGCTATATACCTACACAAGATATATTTTAAACAAGTTATGCAAGACAATGATATCACATATCATGCTAAGTCAAATTACCATCTTTAGAAACCACAAGTACTAATTCTATAACAAGTTAGCAGCATGCTCATAAGGTAATTAAACACACTACATTTCAAGAGATTTTCAACCTAACATGGGAAGTCTCTAGATTTCAAATCAATTCCAAATAGGTTCAAATTAATATATGTTAAGGGACATAGCATAGTCTTCACATATATCACA